GATAGTACCAATCTTGACTGCCCATTGAGTATTCTGTTCTGATGTAATATACATGTATTTTAAAACAAAAACAAGCTGTTACCAAGATATCTGTGTACACACACGCGCGCACACACACACGCACGCACACACGCGCACGCACACACGCGCACACACACACACACACACACACACACACACACACACACACACACACACACACACACACACACACACACACACACACACACACACACACACACACACACACACACACACACACACATACCCTTACTCTCTCTCTCTTAATCACTCTGGATACAGCATCATTCAAAGACATTTTTCTGTTTCTGATTAATATTAGATAAGATAACCAGACTAAACAAGACACTAGATAAGATACCAGCTCTCCATAAACATAATTACAATAACTTAATTCAAAGGCCTCGACAGGACATAATATTTATCTATTTATTTATTGAAATTTTTCTACCCCATCAACATCCAAGGTCATTTGCATGTATTTAAAATATAGTAATACCGTGTGGCTTGGGAGAAATGCCCAAGAAAGTGCTATATGACATCAAAGGTCATATGGCGCTGTGGTAGAGCAACAAAAAGGGGTTAGGAATGATTTCATGATTAGGGTAAAGTTGCAGGTAGTGAAAAGGGTAGAGAGGGGGAGCTAATGGGGTATCGTATGAAGTAAAAGTTATTAGAAGGGGAAGGTGTTAAGAGGAGTAGGGAGCATTATGATAAAGTATTATGGCAAAAACGGCAAAAAACGAGTTTAATGATTAAGATAATTGGAGAGAACAAGGGGATGAAAAAGACGAAAAGGAGAGAAGAAAAGACCATGCAAAATTAGCTGAGGTGAGGGCTGGTCCCCTACACTGGCCTCAGTCCCCCTCCTAACCCCCCGCCCCCAATGCAAGGGAGTGGGGATAAGATAAAATAAAACTCCAAAATACAATGCTGATTTTTATTCCATGTATGACAGTTTGCAGTTATATCATAAAAAAACTCTCAGAAATGCACGTAGCATTTACGTCAAACTTACTTATTAATTTTCATGTTTGTCATATCCTAAAAGAAAAAAAGAAAAAAATATTGCTTTACTACCATTGGAAAAGGCATTTTATATGAGCAAGATTACACTTGCAGTGTTGACTAGCATACTTTGCAAGAACAGTACATAACATCAGACAGACAGAAATGCAAAAATATTTTTATGTAACGACACAGTGGGTTGAGGACCTTCGTGTTCTCAACGAGTCTAAGCGAGAGAGATCTTCAGGGAATTTTAATCATGACGCGATCACAGCATTCCCGATTAACCATCACCTTAACTTACCACACAGTCAGGTAGGTAGTAAGTTCTGCATAATTTTCCTAACTTCAGGTACAAATTTTGTTCAAAAAGAACACCATATTCTTTAGGAAAATAGGAGTATCTTATAATTTCCTTTCCAGATTCAGTTGTCTTTTTTTTTTATTACAGTTAACAGTCTACTTCAATTCTACGTACAGAAAACTCTTTTATGTACATTCTCCAATATCAGTATAAGAAAAATGAAAACAAATCACATAAAGTCAATTATAATTTTTTTACTACTACTACTGAACTTTTTTCATACCATACAAAACTATTTCTTTCCTTTAGCTCCTCTTTTCAGTTAACTATATATAGTAGCCACTTAAATATAAGAAATATATGATAAATTTAGGAAAGTCTAGTCATCTACAAGGAGGGAAAAAAAAACCCTAAGATTCAAAACCAAACCTTTCCAAAATTCCAGAATATCAATTCAATTAAGCAACTATTTAATTAAACTAAGTCTCAAGATCCCTTGACAAGAAAACAAAACATTGTTTGTGTTTTGATATTCCTTCTGAAGATATGAATCTCTCTCTCTCTCTCTCTCTCTCTCTCTCTCTCTCTCTCTCTCTCTCTCTCTCTCTCTCACACACACACACACACACACACACACACACACACACACACACACACACACACACACACACACACTCACACTCACACTCACACTCACACTCACACTCACACTCACACTCACACTCACACTCACACCCACACCCACACCCACACTCACACTCACACTCACACTCACACTCACACTCACACACTCTCACACACACACTCTCTCTCACACACACACACACACACACACACACACACACACACACACACACACACACACACACACACACACACACACACACACACACACACTTACTCTCTCTCTCTCTCTCCCTAAACAGATCAGCAAAACATCAGAGGGAAAACCAGTATAATTTATTTATTCACCAAAAAATTCCTGCCACGTCAACATCTAAGGTCATTGGCGGCGTATTCAGAGCAACAGAGCAGCAGCATGAGGCTTGGGAACAATGCCTCTGGTAAGGAAGTGATATAAGACATCAAGGGGTCACATGAGGCCACGGTAAAGTATAGTGGCAAAAAGGGTTAGGAATGAGTTCATGATTAGGGTAAAGTTACAGGTTGAACAGCACTAGAGAGTAGCAGGGTAGTGAAAAGGGTGGAGAGGGGGGGCTGACAGGGTATCATATAAAGTAAGAGTTGTTATAGAAGAGGAAGGAGGTAAGGGAGTAGGGAGCATTATGATATAAAGTGTTGTGGCAAAAACGAGTTGACAATTAGAATAAGTGGACAGGACAAGGGGATGAAGAAAAGGAAAAGGAAAGGAGGAGGAGAAAAGACCATGCAGAATTAGATGAGGTGAGGGCTGAGAACTAAAGGGCCTCAGTCCCCATCTCCCAAGCCCCCCCATGACAACAATGAGCAAGGGATTGGGGGAGGGAAAACCAGTATGGCACCCACTGGCAACATCACATGCTCGAAACAGCCTCCCGCCATTCTACTTCTGTCGCCAGTGTACTGAACATTCTGAAACACACCTTAACCAATTTTCCAATGTCTCTGTTCCTTTGAATAGAAGTACGTTAAGACTCCATGGCAGTCGTGAAGGATTAGCAGGGAGATTTCCACAGCCTTGGAGAAAAGAATATTGTAAGCCAATCTGCAAGGAGTTTGTCAGTGTTCATATTAAAGAATATACTTTGAAGCCATGCCTTTAAGGAATATCATAATACAATTAGGTATATAAGGTCTGTACAAATTACTCAATAATTTTGTCTCTATTTCTCAAAATAGATAATAAATTAAGCTCAATTATCTGTAGTATCAAGTGTAAATATTTGCCGTTCCCTCATTGTTTTAATGATTCTTCAATAAATATTAGGACTGGTGTCCCTACTATAATTCATTATATGATCAGATACTGGCTTTCAAATCCAGTGAATTATGAAGGTAAATCTCGAATGATACACACTACTTGATAGTGAGAATGCAGGGATTTCCAAAATTACAAAGAATTTTGCCAAACTACCTTCTCTAACACCTGATAAACAACACGCTATCATTCACAGAAAATTCAGCAAATATCCAACACTCTGTTTTCCCCCTCCTCCTTGAAATAATGAAGAAAAAATTAAAGGCAGGAAAACAAGCATCAGCAACAACTGCACAATAAAAAATAAATAAAAATCTTCCTTTACTTGGGCTACCTAATCACCAAGTCTTGAGATCCCTTGATAAGAAAAAAACAACGACAATGTTTGCCATATAAAAAGTTAAACTCTGACGCAATGACCTCATAGCTGTGAGACATGAATCAAGTGTGTAAATGAAACATTATGTCATTAATACAGATGAGTGAAATTCAGCAAGGTGCAAGATGTAAGCACATGATGGAAAACCTTCCTCTATGCAATTCCATTATTCTCTCTGTATTGCAAAGTGTGGTTAGAAATGGTATGAATGAGAATTAATATCTTCATAGTACAAGAGATGCAGTTGACCGGCTTTGATTATATCTTCATCGGAAATATACGCACTTCTGACAGTGATACATAAATGAAACCGTTCGAATACATTATTCTCATTCATACCTTTTCCTTATTTGTTGTAGTAAACATAGTTCAAAGAATGTTTTCTTAGTAAATGTTCTACTTCTGAATCCTTCAATTATATACTGACAGAAGTGAAAGCAAGGAAAGGCATCGGTTACTGGGTTGAATATGCACTACTTACAGGAAAACGTAGATGTAACTGGAATTGACAATTACATCATCTTACAAAAAAAATATTAAACAATACATACTTTGGCCTCATCCACCTTGAACAGTATTACAACTAAGAAGATTTTTTTTTTTTTATGAGAGGGAAGCACAGAAGTAAGAGACCTGCAAGCAAATTTTTCTAGGCCTCCTATGATTAAACCAAAAAAGAAAATGAAGATGATGATCAGAAAGAAAAAGAAAAGAGAAAAGAATGAAAAAAAAAACAAACAGAGATAATGAAAATAGTCTCATACATTTAACATGTAATAAATAACTGTATTCTTTTGCATCAAATTACAACCACAAATTGAAAATGAGCATAATCAATGATCCGAAGTCAAAATGGGTTACAAAATAAGCCTGGGGCATTAGATACACACGCCCTCCAGCTCTCAAAATACTCTACAGAATCATAGTTTAATATATGAGCAATGCAGCAGAATAAATAAATATAAAAAATAATGCTAATCCTACAAGAGAAATGAAGAAATAAACGAACGCAAGTCCTGAAAAATACGTATAAAATTTAATCTGTCAACTAGTTCTGACTTCTAACTTTTTTGACAATATCACATAAAAATCATATTAAGGGGATCATCTGGTCGATTCGTAGGCACCCTTTTCACATGTTTCTGAGCTCCCTATATAATTTTTTCTTTCTTTTTCCATTACTCGAAACAAAGATAAATCCACCCTTGGACCTCTTGGCCAATTTACGTCAAATGTGGAGACTATATCATCGCTGAAAGAAACTGTATTACATAATATACATTCAGAATAGGTTTTATTACAAATTCTGCCCAAAATAACACTCTACTTTGGGAACAATTGGACAAGGTTGGGGTATGAAATAGTACAGATATCCTAGTGACTTTTATTATTTAAGAAAATGAGTTCGGGTATGAGAGTTCAACCCTGCAACAACATACTGGCACATTCAGCCTGAGCTTCCAAACATTGAAAAAAATAAATAAATAAAATAAACTAATAGAAAAAAGAAAGAAAAAAGAGAAGAAGAAAAAAAATCAACCAGATGGTCACCTTAAAATCCCCTTTTAACTTTCAAAATGATGCTTAAATGCATGTTAAGTCAATATGAATATATATAAAATATTTTTCATACTTCAGAGAGTCCCTTTGTTAAATCAGGGCCTTTTAAGTGGCTAACTACAAACGTAAATGAAACCTGTATCATTTCTTCCATTTCACAAAGCAAACAAAAATGCAATGCCTGTGTAAATTCACGTTATAATCACATGAAAGTACAACTAAAAAGCATAAATAACCTAGAGTACAGACTTATCACATCAACTTTCCTTTAATCCCTAACGAAAATGCCTTTGTTGTTCTGGCTGTGGAGAGTAAAACAAATGAAACAGTTACACGCTCCCAATCAACTATGTATACTGCACATCTTGATTAACGCGTTAACTCCCTCCCAGGTAGCTACTTACGACAACAAAGACACAAATAGAAATGGAGCACAGGCTCTCCAAGTGGTACTCTTTCAGTTGATATGACGGCAAGAATATGAAACGGGAAATTCAATGAAAATGATAAGCTGCCTTTGTGTCCTTTTACATGAAAAAAAGAAAATAATGGAAAAAGAAAGAAAAGAAAAGAAAAGAAAAAGAAAAGAAAAAAAAATGGAATAAAACTGATCCTGTCTACTCAACTTAATATATAAAAGGAATGATACTCTAATGAAATAATTAAACACCAGGGGCAATATCCACTAAAGGTCATAGAATTTTCTTTGAAAAATTTAAGGACTGTTTTCCTAAAAACAACCTTTGACTGTCTTTTGACCGACTTTGATTGCATAGAATTTATATATGAGTGTCTTTAGACTGTACTAGTGACTATTTCTGACTCACACTGTTGCCCCATATTAAACACTTAACTAGAATTAAATTGTGTTGTCTGCATTTCAAAAGGATAATTTAAAGACAGTCCTTACAAGTGAGGGACACCACAGTCCTGTATTAAACTTCAGCCAAGTCAGACAAAAATCGGGTGTTAAAAGACATTTTCATAAAAAGTCATAGACTAAATTTTGGAGTCAAAGACGTTTTATCACTCAAACACCAAGGCCTACAAACTTTAGTGTATACTCCCCCTGGCTTTATCCATGTTATTTTTCTCTCATTCAATGCGTACTTGCTCTAGTTAATCTCTTTTCATATGACATATCAATTTATAAGCATGGATATATATATCTGAAACCACAAAAAAAGGTAATGATAATAAAAAACACTATGTCAGTGTAAACAAAACTGACACATTTCTCCAGCAAACATGAATAAAACACGAACCTCAAAGAACCTTTGTTCTACAAAGGAAAATCAATGTCTCTGTAAAAAATAAACGAACTCTGCAACACACGACATGAGCCTTCTTCACAAAGTTGCTACGGAGACGATTAAAGTTCAGAACGGAGTTTTTGAAAATCCCTCAAAACAAAACAGACAAAATTAACGGCAATTATCCAGAAGTCTCACTGTCTTGGGGTTTCAGACCTCGGAGTGAGAGATTATAAACCACCTCCTCGGTCTTCTTCAGAGCGTACTTGAGCTCATCAAATTTCTTGCGTAATTCGTTCTTTGGGAAAAGGAGGGAGTACGCTGCATGCAGATCTCTTAGGAACTGCTGTATCTGGAAGGGCCGTGCGTAATCGCCTGCAAGGAAGAATACACGAAAATTTCAAGAAGGGTAGAGGTAGGGGGAGGGGCAGGGTGGGTGGGAAGTGGGAAAACAGCACTACCTATCTGTATATCATAAGGCTTTCTCTGAGTTACTTCCATTAAAAATCTTAATAAAATAATAAAGGTGTATCTTAATTTTTTTTTTCTTTCTTTTCTGCCTTTATGTCATCAACTTTTGGTATATGCTAAAAGATATCCTGCACAATTAGTGTAAGTGAAGGTAGAAGGGATGAGAATCACTGGTGTAAGGAAAGAAAAAGATGATAAAGAGAGACATAAGGAAAGAATAGAAAAATAGAGACAAAAAAGAAAAGGAGAAAAGAAAGAAAAAAGAAGAATAAGAATAAGAAGACAGTGATGAAGAAGAAGAAATTTAAGGATGAGGAAAAAAGTAGGACAAGGATAAGGATGAGGAGAAATAGAAGATGAAACTCAATGAATTGAAGCCAGGTACCCTTACAGCACAACATGTCAATTCTATTTTATGTGATATTACCCATTACTTAGATTTGTGACAAAAGTTCTAAAATCATGGACTGATTTCAGAGCAAAGAAACAGCCTAAAAAACTGAACAGGCAATCCCCCTTAATCATGATAACTGCTGCTGATATAATATGAAGAGCTGATATGCAAATTCAAACATTAGGAAAGGCCCAAGAACACATAGCCGGAGGAAATAAAAAGAGGGAGGCGGAAACACTTCTTACCAGCACTGACTGAATTGATAGCCAGTCTTGCCAACTCATGGCTGATGCTGAGCGTTCCCAGAAGGTAGTCCTCCAGGTCGAGGTGGAAACCCTTCTCCCGCTGCGTACAAAGGCCTAGGGATTGTGCCACTTCTTCATGTGGTGCGAGTCTGTAGAGTGAATGCAGGGACTTAGAGAACTCCATACTTAGGCTCTTAGGCAACAAGCTGAGAGGTTCCGATGGAAATATTTTAAACTGTGGACATATAAAGAACCCGAGACCCTCTATGCCTATGCCTCTATGCCTACCGATTTTCTCGCAGATACGTGATGAGGCAGGTGGCAGCAACGAGGCGCTGGGTGGTCCCTCGGAAGTTGTGGTGGAAACGGTAGTACTCGCCTGCAGGAACCTTCTCCTGCAAGGCTTCATACAGTGCTGGTACGCTTGCTAACTGGGTAACACACTCCTCACAGATTGACTGGAGGTTCTGAAATAACAGTGTTCTTATAAGTTACTGAATGATTTCCATTTTATCTATTTATGAGATGCTTGTAATGCATGAGACAATAAAAGTTGAGTGAAAGGAGAATCACAAAGAAACTGTCACAACTTATATGAGAACAACTGAGCATCAAGAATGTTAAATCCTTGGATGAGAGTGCTTAATGCTATTCACCTATACCTAGAATGTGGAACCACAATAATACCACACATTAATGAGAAATACCACATTGTTTAGTTGTTCCTTACTGCTTTTACTGCACTTCTGATCAATAAATACACATTATCTGAGAGTATGACGATGGTATTGATTTAGTGTGTGAGCAAGAATAAGAGTCTAAAGTACTTTTGCCATCAATTTTTGCATTTCTGTATGAATTTCATGTATGCTAATGGTCCAACTCTGTCACACCTATAGA